ACGAGTGCCACCATCAGGATCCTGACAGCACTGCTGGCCTCCGGGAAGTCAGCCTCAAGCACCGTGGCCACTTCCCCTCCCTAGAATCTCCACAAGGAAGAAAAAACATAAAAGCAGCTGCCAGATGGTTCTAGACAACCAGCACGAACCTCAGTGGAGGAGAGTTGGGGGGACAGATACCGATCCTGGGCCAGCAAGGGTGTCCCACTGCTCACCTGGAGGGCCCAATCACATCCAGCCCCCTTCTCCCCGCCCCTCCTCAGGGCGATGCCAGGCGCAGGGCTCATGGTTTGCAAGCTCCACTGAGGAGGCGCAAGCCTCTCCAGATCAGGACTGACTGGGAGAGAGTCTGTGTGGCAGGCGCAGAGGGGCTGGGATGAGCAAGAGCGGCAGGAGCAGCAGGTAGGGTTGGACTGCGGTTTTGGCCCGATTCCCGCAGGCCACGCTGAGAAACCCCACCAGCGTCAGGCCTCTAGTATTACAAAACCCAGTCCAACCCTACTGCTGGGTTCTGAAAGTACAGTATTAGGGGGGAACACTTTGTAAAGAATATAATTGTCCCATCACTATGCTGTGTACGCGAACCCAATGCACAATAATCTTGAAAGTAAACTGTAAGCGTAAAATTAAAAATAAGTAAATGGAAATTTAAAAAAAGGCTTACCTGTTTGAATCATGGGGGAGCAGACGTGACCTCAGCCCTCACTGATGCACTGTTCTCCTTGCCCACTGGCCCTTTCTGCTCGGCGATGCCCGAGGAGAGGAGAGACTAGTTAAAGGCGTTTAAGTCTTACACTTGAAGAATAAAATTTTAAATGCCTCTACAGTATCACCCAAAACCCCACTGATTACCTAGGTTTAAATCTAATAAATTATATTCAGAAAACTACATAATGTTACTAAGAAAAAATTTGAAAAGATCTTAATAAACAGAGTCATATATGGTGTTCATGGATTAGAAGATTCACAATCATGAAGATATGAGTTTTCCGGAAATTGAAATTTAATGTAATTCCAATGGAAATCTTAGAAGGATTGTTAAATGAAAATTCATAAACTAATACTAAAACGTACATGAAAATCCTAAAAATCAAGAATAATCAAGACAATTTTTTCCTGATTTTTTTTTCAGTTGCAGTTGACATACAATATTAGTTTCAGAAGTACAACATAGTGATTAGACATTTATATAACTTATGAAGTGTTCACCTTGAATCAAGACAATCTAGAAGAAAGTTGTTGGGGTTGGGGGGGAGCAGGGAAGGGGTGGAAGAAAAAGATGAAGTTAGCTAATTTTATTATGTCTATAACTCATAGTAGTTCACTTATAGATAACTATCCACACAAAAAAAGAAGGGAGCAAAGGTAATACTTAAAGGTCTTAGTATAAGATAAATATTACAACAAAAATATAAACCTTTCTAAATACAAAACATGTAGTAAGAGAGAGAGAAAGAGAGAGATTACACCAATAAAATAGGTTACAAGTGAAAGACCATCTAGCTTTCAACATCCCCAGCTCAAGCTGCATCCTTGGTCCCTGCTTCTGCTTGCTCAGCTCCTGGCCTCCTGGGAGGAAGATGCCTGGCACGGGATTGTTCCTGAAGATTCTGGATGGGGGTGAGCTAGGGAGAGGACAAGAGTTTGCATAAACCAGAGCAGGAGGGCAGACTCCCTCATGTGGGGAAAGAGGACGGGGGGAGGCAGACACTGCGAGAGAAGAGAAAAACACAGGCCTGACTTCCAGCAGCTGCTCCACCAGCGGCAACCTCTGCCCCTGTTCTGGCTCAGGCCTCTTCCCAGAAACCCAGAGAAACCTCAACTGTAAAGTCAAGAAGGAGATACCAGCTCCCCGGCCTCAGGGTAAGAAAAGGAAGTTTTATGAAAAGAAAACCAAGGAAAAAAACTAAGTCTCATATTGTGCAACCGGTGAAGTCCCACATTGCCCTACCCAGAGGACTCCATGCTTTTGTTTATAATTCCCGGATGAAGCATTTCTTCAAGAGAGTACCCAGGTCTCCTGCAGCTTCTGGGGGATTGAGTTCCCCCCTTGTAATTTGCTCAGGGGCAGGGAGGTGTCGAGGAAAAAGATTCCACTGTGAGGGAGAGACCCAGAGGGGGCCCTAACCCTGTTCCCTCTCTAATATTAAAGTCAGAGGCAGGCCACAGCTCTGCTCTAGACTTCCTATGACAAACGAGAAGATACAATCTTCCAGACAGGAATTCAAGCTCTCCCCACCCCCATCCTCCGAGGGTCACAGGAGCCTCCAGAAGAGGCAGGCTTCCTCTTCACCTGGCTGATGGGTTTCGTGCCCTTCCTAAAGCCTCAGTCTTCATTTTCAGCTGCTGATGCAGACCCTCCTCTTGAGATGGCTCACCCCATTATAGTCCATCACCTTGGAATGTGTCCACTTCATCCTGGGTTTCTCTTTCAGGGTATTTTGTCTCACTTTCTAGAATGTTCCATTACCTTCTACACTGAGCTGGAGGGAGCCACTGGCAGTGACTCTTTGGTTGGTGATTGGATTAACTTCCCATTGCTGCTGTTAAAAAAAAAAAAAATACTACAAACTTGATGTCCTAAAACAGCACACATTTGATTCTCAAGTTCTGGAGGTCAGGAATCCAAAATCTGTTCCACTGAGCTGAAGTCAAGGCGTCAACAGGACTGCTTTCGCTCCAGGGCTTTAGGAGAGAGACCACTTCCTTGGTTTTTCGCCCGCTGCATTCTTGGTATTTCTTGGCTCCTGGCCTCTTCCTCCACCTGCAAAGCCAGCAGCGTAGCATCTTGCTTCAATTGTCACACTGCCTTCTTGCCTTCTGTCATCAAATCTTTCTCTGCCCCCTCATTTAAAGACACTTATGACTACATTTAGGGCACAAAAACAAATAATCTAGGATAATCTCTCCCTCTCAAAATACTTAACTTGATCACATCTGCAAAGCCCTTTTTGTCATACTAGTATAAGGTACTATTCACAGGTTCTGGGGATTAGGATGTGGACACTTGGGTGGCCTGCCTAGTGATCTATACCTTGTCTCAGGCTTGGGGGTCACCCACTCAACCACTTCCCTCAAAACAGGGTTGAGTATCTTTAGCCAAAGACCACATGTACCATAACCTTTCAAGACACCCCAACTTCCTCCATTCATTCCCTTTAGGCCCTAGGACAGTGCCATTCAATGGACTTTCTGCCATGATGGAAATGTTCTACATTTTTGCAGTCCATCAGGGAGCCAGCCACTAGCCACATGTGGCCAGGGAGTACTTGAAATATGACTAGTGCAACCGAATTATAAATTTAATTGACATGTAAATAGCCACTTATGGCTAATGATTAATATATGGAATAATAGCTCAGATCTAGGCAGATGGAAAGCAGAAGCCAAGACCAGTCAGGCTCTTTGTTTGCTAGCCTCTTCTCACACCATTTCAGATCAGCTCTGCCCCCAACCTCCTTCTCTCAGACCATGTGGAATCCAAAGGAGGCTCCTAGTGGGGCTCAGGGATGTGGATGGCTGAGGGCCGGGCAAAAAAGGGATTGTGTTTATTTGGCCCCAGAGAGGTAGAGTCCCAGTTCTGCTTTTGCATTGGACTGAAAACTCTCAGATGTGTTATGAGGTTGCCCTCTTTACTCTCCTTTCACCGTGAGTTTTCCTTTTTGGCACCACAGAGGCATGTCACAGGGAGCACAGAAAAGTCACAGTACCCTAGGACGTGGTACTGGCTGGAGTTCTGCTCTGTCACCCATTTGCTGGGTGGCCTTTAGCAACTCTCTTCTCAGTCCTTGGCCCTCAGTTTTCATACTAGGAGAGGGTTGGATGAGACCGTCTGAGAGGTTCCTCTCAGCTTTAATAGACCACAATCCTGTGTTTTGTAGATCAAAGCTTGATGGTGCATGTAATTCAACCTCAGAGCCCTGTTCCAACTCAAGTAATGGTTCTGACTGAAGGGTTACTGAAGGTTACTCCCACCATGCTCCAGAACCAAATCTGACTTCTTCTCCTGTCCTCATGACAACACTCTGCCTTGACTTTGGGTTTAGAGAGCTGATCCACTAGCTAATCTAATCCACAGAATGGCACTAGAAAGACAGACACAATGCCCATTGTAAGTGAAAACGCTAGGCTCAGAGCCGGAAAGAGAGAATCTTCCCGATGTCAGACCCTGTGATGGGTGCTTTACAATCTACATCTATAAAAGCCTAAGCAGCCATCCTACCAGTCTACTGTCTGACACCCAACTGGTAGCTATGATGCGCAATGACCACCAGGGGGCAGACGCTTCACGCAGGAACTGCCTTGTTGCAGCGACTTGGCAACTGCAGTTCTCGGGTGACACACCTGGAATCAGAGAGGAGGAATCCCTGTTCCAGGGTTGTCACCCAAGAACTACCCTCTCGTAATCTGGGAATCCTTAGGGGATGTCAGGCTGAGAGTGCACGAATCTGTGCATTGGGCCTCTAATAACCTTATAATAGTCCCTCCAAGTGGATAATATTGCCCCCACTTTACAGGTGTAAAAATTGAGGCCCAGTTGGCAAGATGACTTTCTTAGTGATATGCTGATAATAAATGACGGAGGCCCATTTTTATAACTCTGAACTACCTCGTCTTGCCTCTATATCATACTGCTGATGCTATTTACAACTTCTCTACCAGATGTTGAGATAACCCTTAGCATCACAGCTGTCCTTTAGGATCATCCCCTCATGGTGCTCTCCAAATAGACCTACAAGCCTTAGCAAGTCACATCACCTCTGAGCCTCTGTTTTCTATCTGTGAAGTTGGAAGTAAGAGTCCCAAACTCATAAGGGTGTTAAAATTCTTGGTGAAAGTATTAAGTGAGATCATGTCTTTAGCGCATTTAGCCCATATGAAGTCCTCAGTAATTGCTCATTCTTATAGTGTTTGGAAATGGTAATTTTTCCCTATTAGGAACACCAGGCAAGTCCCTTTGCATCAGACCAAATTAAAACACAAAGAAACTGTCTGTATATTTTTTTTAAGTTTTATTATGAAAACACATGGCATCGACTGCATTACCCATGTATCCGCAATAGCAGAGAAAATGATGGTGGACCATCCCCACGGGGGACATATGTCCTTTAACAAAACCAACATAAATTATGAAAATAACACAAATAATAAAAAATACAATAACAATAACAGCACATAATAAAGATTAAATTGAGAGACGGAACAGGGTCTACTGAGAGAAGTGGTGAAGGTGGAGAAGGTGGGTCTCACGGAGAAGCATCAGGCTCAGGTGACTTGCCCCTGTGCCTGGAGCAGCTCAGTTCAGTTCCAGGTCATTAATGTACTCCTGGACCCAGGGCTCACTGGGGTTGGCGCAGATCTGTCTCCCCTTTTTGGTTTGAAATCTGCGGAAGGAGGAATGGATAGATTAGAACCGAATGGGACCTTGTCTGTGGTAGATGTCTCCCTCTGCTTGACCACAGTTCATGCTGGACAGCTCTAGCGGGTAGAAAGACCCTTCTTGGGTGGCTCTGGAAACAGACTCCTTGTAACTTCCACCCTGGATTTAGCTGTGGCCTCAGCTAATTTGGTTCCCAGATTAGGAACCAATGAGTTGTATCATCAACATGACTATCTCCCCCCATTCATTCCCTAGTGCCCCTAGCAATAACTTTTCTATGTGTTTTTCTAAGCGTGATTTAAGAATCAGCCCACATTACCGTGATATTTTTTACTTTCCCTAGTGTTCTAGCATCTGGCTAATTTCCTCCCCAGAAATGTCCTCCCCCTGAATCTTGTCACTTGATTCCCTCCCAGCCCCCTCCAGACTCAACAGGTGATTTCATGACCTTGTTCCTTATTCCTTTCTGGGAGGGCTTCAGCCCTCAGGCCTGCCTCCCTCCTGTTTGATCCTCTCTCTGCCCTGCCCTTGCTCTCCAGAGAAGGCCAGAAGTTGATACTTACACCACAGCGGGCTGGGAGCAAAGGCTGCTGGTCTCGTAGTAATCCTCCACAAAGTTTCGAGGAACTTTCCGCTGGATGTAGGAGAAGCAGCAGGAGGTAGGAGGGTCGGAACCCACTGGAAAGGAAGGCCAAGGTGAGATCAGAGCTCTATAAAATGCTGCTCCTTTGGCTTTTAGTTATGGATATTCAAGGGGCATCTCTGTGGAGCTATTCGAGCCCAAATATGGTCCCTTGTCTAATCCCATCCACCCTGAGTAGAGTCTTTTTCTGAACATAGTGTCCTCAGAGAAGATAATGGCGCTGGATTGGGTCTCAGAGCACACATCTAACCCCATTTAACAGATGAAAAACCAAGACACAGAGAGAGACTTCTTGAACAAGTCTTCTGGTTACTGTTTCTTAAGAAAACAGAAACTGGAATATTACCGAATGTCTAGTAGACACTACATTTAGCAGCAGACTACTTAAAAATCTCCCCTATGTCTCATCCCCAGATGCCGCTGTTGGACCAGCCCCACCTAGAAGAGTGGGCTCTAGAAGCAGTGGCTGGAATAACAGACTTACTTGGTGCTGAGAGCGCTGGAGAGCAGAAGGCAGCCGTGAGGACGAGGAGAGAGAGAACGGTCACACAGAGCTTCATGGTCTTGGCAGAGAAGAGGCTTTCCTGGAGCTGAGACTGAAGTGCCCAGAAGCTTCAGAACCCGACTGTGTTCTGTGCTGATGCTGAGCTGGGACCCCCTCTTTATAGGAACTCTGGGGACTGGAACAGAGGTGGGAGCACCGGAGGGCCAGTGGAATTTCCAGGGTAGAGATGACATCATGGTGCCGATGAGGAAACTGAAGCTAGCTGAAAGTGAGGAGCTCTGCCCAGCTTCTCTTCCCCTGGGTGATGTCATCATGGTGGAAAGAAGGGGGAGGAGGAGGGGAGAAGTGGGCTGCACCCTCGAGGGAAGTGGTACACCAACGGCAGTGACCAAGACCAAGAAGATAATTGTAAACCCGAGAGGAAGGGTGCAGCATTCACACCTGCGAGAAGGGACGTGTAGACAAGGCAACCATGCTGTTCTTGGTGGTTGTCACCTCCAGGAGCTTCATGTCAGTCCTTCCACAGTTGCCACAGGCCTGGCCCCAAAAAGGAAAGGGGAACTTGAACTCCATGTCAGATTCTTGGACCTCCTGCAGGGCTGGGTGGCCTTATATGTTTCTTTGGGCATAAAGAGTCCAGCATTGAATGTGCAGAGGGCCCAGCAGGACACTGACCTACTTATGGACAAGGCATTCGGTACCAGACCCTGGGCAAGCTGCCTTATACACGTAACATCAGAACCTACCTTGGCCCTGAGCAGGGGTCTGGTCATTCCCGGAGGCAATAAAGATCGAAGAACAGAGGAGAGTTCACTGATAATTTCAAGGCCACAATCTTAAGGGGCAGTGCCAAGATTGCAATGAGATTCTTCTGCCTCTAAAAGCCACTTACTTTTCCCACTGTTGTCCCAAATATTGAATGTGAACACAAAGGGACTATAGTACACACAAAGAACCATCTTATTAGGGCTGAGTTCAGGACAGGAGTTTGGGTCAGTCTGTCCTATAACAAAGAGGGGACAGAAGAAAAAAAAAAAAAAAAAAAAAAAAAAAAGCAAAGGTTCCAGTATGTTCACTTGGACCCATAATAGAAAAGGAAAGAAAGAAATAAGAATTTATTTATTGGGACAGAAATAACTATCCCATGGGATGGAATAAAGTAAGTGTCACATCAGAAGTAGAAACAAAATGTCAGAGCTTCCCTCGGCTGCACACGCGTAGTTCCAAATCAAGTCTAAATCACAATGTGTGCCGAGGAGGAGCCATTGCTGTGGAGGCCTCTGTCTAAGAGAGTGGGGTGTGCTGATCTTCAAGCTGTTGGAGGGACCTCGAAGATACCTGCTCTGGGGCATTAGGAGAATGATGATAGATAAGAATGGGTGATGAGTCTGCCTGGAGCCACACAATGAGTTTGTTGACTCTTGCTTCTTAGCCTTGATTTGACCTTTGGCTCATGGAGGAAAAATGTTTTGTTCATGAAGGTCCCAACGATAATGTTGTGTTCACACTAGAGAAATTCAACACCCAAGAGCACGAAGGGCTTGTATTAATATATTTAGCTAAATCAACATGGCCACCAAGATTTATCCTTTGAGGCCATTTCTAAGCAATAGGTGATAGAGAATGATAGCAAATGCCTCTGGATACACAACAGGAAAGTGCTCATCTTCTCTAGAGAGTCTTCCCTGACCTCTCCTCCAAATGAATTCTGCACCTCCCTCTGTGCTCCTACAGCTCCTGCACCACCATCATATCACCTGAAACATCTGTTTGATCGCCTCCCCCACTGGAGAGTGAGCTCCTTGGTTCAGAGTATGTGTTATGCCTATCTCTGTGTACTCAATAGATATTCAATAAATACCTGTTTAATAAATGCCCAGAGGCAGCCCAAACTACCAGTTTTAATGGGGGGACTGTGTGTGATAGGTAACATGGACTCAGGATGTGAACTCCACTTATCTAAGTGAAGTAAGAATGAACTGGGCATTCTACTCAAAATGTGATTCCCCAGCCCTTCTTCCACTGCTTGCCCTCAAGCCACATACCCAGTAGTGCTATTTAAGGAGTACTACTTTAGAGCTCATTCTTTCCACAGCTCATGGGTGTGAGAAATGATAGCAGGAGTTGAGCATGGCTCCAGGGAGTTCCAAATGCATTCAGGGGGTCACCCACTCTCCTGTTGCAGTGAAACTTTTCACTTCCCCTCACTTATGGGAACACAGAGCTTTCTCCTCCTGTAACTTTAACTGGCACTGAGCTCATAGCTCCATTCTGGGCACTTTCACATCAGTTTTGTCATCATCTGTCCTCACAGTCTCTGTTAGCTGCAGGCAGTCTCTGTTAGCCAGTCTCTGTTAGACTGGCAATCCCAGCAGGAATAGGACCTTCCAAAGGCCCTGATACTTTTCATTTCCCCCAGCACATCCATGTCCATGGTCTTATCAGATACCAATCTATTTTTTAAAAATATATTTTGTTGATTTTGTACAGAGAGGAAGGGAGAGAGATAGAGAGTTAGAAACATCAATGAGATAGAGTCATCAATCAGCTGCCTCTTGCACACCCCCTACTGGGGATATGCCCGCAACCAAGGTACATGCCCTTGACCGGATTCGAACCTGGGACCCTTCAGTTTCCAAGCCAACGCTCTATCCACTGAGCCAAACAGGTCCTGGCTGGATACCAATCTAGATAACAAAACCTAAAGCAGTCAAAAGACTGGCTCAAGGTCACACAGGATGTGTGGTAGGACCACAGGCCCATAGAGGACCAACTTCCTGTACAGGTGTGACCCTCTGAGAGGGCACAGGTAGGGCACCTCTGAAGGTATCAGCTTCTCAGAAGAGACTGCAAAGCTGCTGAGGAGCAGGAAACAGAGGTGGACAATCTTGATGATCTGCGTTCTTCTAGAAAAAGAGTGCTGAGATGCATGAGTGTCGGGGAGACCATTGAGTGTTGAAGCCAAGAGCACTAGTCACAAGGAAGTGGAATGCCTAGAACTAGAGAATCCCCTGCAAGCAACTCATGAGACTGGAAATCCATAGCAAGATGGAATACATGGCCATTTTGCCAACATAACAAACCAAGAAGTAGTAACATTCTTTGGTTTTGTCAATATGGTTGCCAAGTCACTTGCAGGGAATGGGATTGTAGAAACAAGGACACCATTATCCGAAGTGCAGGGCTCAAGATGGGGTCTGGAGGAGACTAAACTAGTTGAAGCAGTTCATCAGGGTGGCAACACTCCACCCCTCAGCCAGCCAGCCCCACTCTTCTTAAAGTGGAAAGGGCCTTCGACACCCACCACAGCCTGCCCCTGTGCAGTCAAGAGTGGAAGGCAGTGACAGGTTCAAAAACACCTTCAGTGTTCTTTACTTCCTTCAAACAATGCTTTTATGCCTGTTTCTAGCTCTTTCCAGGCTGGAACATCCAGCAAGAGAGGAAAATAAATTAGTAGCAATTTATTGAGTTTTTTTTACACCCCCTTCCATTTGGAAAGTGGTGAAGTGTTTAAAAAAAAGCCTTCCCTGCCAAGACCAGCTTGGCTCAGTGGATAGAGCATCGGCCTGCAGACTGGAAGGTTCCGGGTTCGATTCCGGTCAAGGGCATGTGCCTTGGTTTCGGGCACATCCCCAGTAGGGGGTATGCAGGAGGCGGCTAATCGATGATTCTCTCATCGATGTTTCTAACTCTCTATCCCTCTGTCTTCCTTTCTGTGAAAAATCAAGAAAATATATTTTAATTTAAAAAAAGCCTTCCCCAAAATGTTATGTAAAAATTTTTATTAGTTTGCTTTGTTTTCAATAGCAAATATACATAACTGTACAAAATTTAGAAAATATGGGAAATCATAAGAAAGTAAAAATTATTCAGCATTCTGTATGTAGTTTTGCATTTTATGAATGATACTTAATTATCTTTCTTGAGCTAATATATTTTAATATTGTTACTTTATATTCTTCCCTGTCATTAAAAACAAATTCCTGGAAATCAAGACTCGGCCCTCTGAATGCCATGTAATTCCTTAAAAGTGCAGGTCTCTTTTCTGCCTTTTAGGAATGAGGTGTCAACTTGGAGTGATTCCAAACTAGCATGCATGATATTTCATTGCATGGATATACCAAAATTTTATGCCAAAATTTATCTTTAACCATTATGTTACTTAGGTCAGTCCATTCAGATTGTTCTAACTTTTCTCTATTATATATTGGGCTGAAACTGAAGGATAATTAGCCAGAAAAAGAGGGGGAAGGGGATTATTCAGGCAAAGAACAAGAGGCCTGCACTTTAAAAAATACATAAAGTAGATTAATCGAAATATTCAGTAGTAATGATAATAGTAACTAATAAATAGTACTTATTATGAGCCAGCGATGTTCTAATTCTCTTATAGATGCTAATGTATTTGGTCCTATTAGTATTTTCTCCTATTAATTAGCATATTCTTCAGTTTCACTTCAGGAAACGGAAGCACAGACAGGTAAGTAATCTACGGAAGAACACACAGCTAATCATGATAGATTTGGAAATGACCCCAAAGAGGTCTGGCTCCAGAATATAAGTAAATCAGAGAAGGAAAATGTGCTTCTTACAAATTTATGTTAAAAGCTTAACACCTGCCTGGCCACAGTGGTTCAGTGGTTCAGTGTTGACCTATGAACCAGGAGGTCATGGCTCGATTCCCAGTCTGGGCACATGCTTGAGTTTTGGGCTCGATCCCCAGTGAGGGGCATGTGGGGGATGGGGGTGGGGGTGCAGCTGATCAACGATTCTTTCTCATCATTGATGTTTCTATCTCTCTCTCCCTTCCTCTCTGAAATCAATAAAAATATATGTATTTTTTAAAAAGTTTAATAGCCAAAGTTTTATAATTATGAAGTAAAATGTCTTTCAGTTTTACATATTACGTGTCTTAAACAGCGGAATCCATGGCTTTCTCTCTGTTCCTTAGAAAGCTAAGGGAATGAAATAGTGGTTTTCCTTATTTGTTCTAGATATTAATCTCTGCAGCTGTCGTAGGATGTACCCATATTTGTATTACTCACTCAGCCCTGTGATTCACAAGAAGGGGAAAATGTGCTGTGCCAAGTTGACACCTCATTCTTAGAAAGCAGAAAAGAGACCTGTACTTTTAAGGAATTGCACAGCATTCAGAGGGCTGAGTCTTGATTTCCAGGAAGTTTGAAGGTGACAAGCGATGTGGCCAAAGAGGGAGGCAGAGGTCAGGTCATGAAGAAGCTTCTGTTTTTAATGCTGGAAACAATTCAGAGTATTTGAAGGATTTTCAATAGAGAGAGACAGAGACTGATTTGCACTTTAGCAAAGTTACTTTGGATGCTGTGTGATGATGGGACAGCTTTGAGAGGCAAACTGGAAGAAATCCCAGTTGACAGGACACTCTTAGAGCTGTCTCAGGGAGAAATGAGGGGGGCATGACCTAAGACCGTGGCCATCGGGATAGTGAGAAGCAAATACACTT